TTGGTGTAATTCTCCAGCCCTTGCATGTGTCCTGCCTTGGCAGCTTTGCATTTCCTTTGCTGTCTCACGTAGGCAGCAGCTACACCTTAGAAAATCATTCCAGGCCAGAGAGCGTGACCAAGGCAGGACAGACCGTGCTGGGGAAGAGCAGAGCCCCAGCGAACAGCATTTATCCCGGATCGAACGCCTCAACTTGCAGATGAAGAGAACTGGCAGGCCCCACCGGTGAGCCCTCAAGTATCCTAATGGCTTTGTGTGTGTGTGTGTGTGGCTGGTGGAAACTGACAGCACCATTGACTAAGGGAAGGCCCCAGCTGCAAGTTACAGAGCGAACAAATGAGTGGCAGAGCAGGGACTAGACCCCAGGAGTCCTGATTCCCAGTCACCAGCTTCTGGCCTCAGTTGCTGCTTCCTCGCGGAGCCACGGTAGCTGAACATCACCCAGCACAAGAGAGTGAATCCAGGTGCCGCGGCCAGAGCTGCCAGGCAATTCCACACACCTGGTTCTTCAGCTCCCAGACCACCAGCCTGTGAGCTAGAGGAGATCTCCTGCAGCTGCCTCCAGTAGTAGGTCTCTTGTCCTCTCTGTGGGGAGCCGTCCTGGGCACACTGCAGCATTCCCAGCATGGGAGATGTAGTCCAACCACGGAGCGCAGTCTATAGAAGAGAATGGGAGCATTAGCACCTGAACTACAACTCCCATGCGGCACTGCAGCAACATTTCGCTGTCTAAACATTTCACTTCCTGAAATATTTTGGCTCAGAATTTCCCACCCCCACTTCCCGACCAGCCCCACAGAGTGCCAAGCAAAAAGTAAATCACCAGGCAGACTTCTGCAGGGCACCTTGCACACCATGGGGCCCAGAGCTCGGTAGCTGCCGCTCACTGCTGTGGCCATAGAAATAACAGAGTTGGATTATGCAAACGGAAATATGTTTTGAACCCTGGGTGTATCATTGTAGTGTCTAGAACCACAGGGCTGGAAGTGCCATGGGCGATGGGACGGATCACTTGATGATTCCCTGGCCTGTTCATTCCCTCTGGGGCACCTGGCGTTGGCCACTGTGGGAAGACAGGACACTGGGCTACATGGACCTTTGGTCTGACCCTGTCTGCTGTTCCTATGTTCTTAACCCAAACATTCAATCATCACAATTAATCCTTTAGTTCTGCAAAGTACAAAAAATTGTTTCTTTAAGGTGATCTTTTAATTTGTAAGTTTCTTCCTTGATATGCCCTGGGGGGGAAGGTCAGGCTAGGACCTCCGAGGAAAAGTTAAAACATCTGAGCATGTTCCGAGTTAAGGAAAGTAGACTGAAGGGGGGCCTGATAAGTCTTCAAATCCGCGAAGGGCTGTTCTGAAGAGTGTGATCAGTTGTTCTCCACATCCCCCGAAGGCAGGAGCAGCCGTAATGGGTTTAATCTAACCAGGGCGATTTAGGTTGGATATTAGGACAAACTCTCAGGGTGGTGCAGCTCCGGAACGGCTTCCCAGGGAAGTTGTGGAATCTCCGACGCTGGAGGGTTTTCAGACCAGGCTGGACAAACCCCTGTCAGGGATGGTCTAGGTCCTGCCTCCGCACCACGGGCTGGACTTGGTGACTTCTTGAGGTCCCCTCCAGCCCGATCCGATGAGAAAACTCTGAGAACAGCTGGGTCTGGTCTGCTCCCGCAGATCCTGCTGCAGAAAGGAGAAGAGGAAAGGCCCAGCTGCTGGGGTTCCCTGCTGGGACCTTAGAGCCCAACGGCTACCCGAGGTCACGCTAACAAGCCAGGCGGTTCAGAACAGAGACCAGGAAATGGCACAGGGTGTCATTAGCCCAGGGAACTCCCTGCCACTAGTGAGGCAAGTGGTTCGGTGAGCGATGAATAGGGCTTGGGGGTGTGTGTCATTCAGAACAGCGGCTGCAGGGCCTCGGGCCAGAGTCAATTACGAGGCTGGTGTAACCGCAGGCGGGAGGGTGTGACTCCCCCAGCATGGCCCTGCGGTGCCCTAGGGCCAGAGGCAGCTCCCAGGGCCTCCCCCAGAGAAGGGCTGCTTGGCAAGATGAGCACGTGGCACATCTGCCCCCCCCCCCCGCCTGGCAGGGAAGGGGGGAAACCCCGCCCTCCCCCCCGCTACCGAGTCCCTAGAGCCTGCGCTCCTAAAGGCAGGGTGCGGGGCTCGCCTCCCCCTGCTGCCCTGAGCTCGCTTGAGCCAACGGGCTCGCTCTACAGCCGGCGGCTTGTCCTGCGCCTTGCGCGCTTGGGAAGGGAAAGGAAATTTGCACTCAGCCCCTTGCCTCGGGCCTCCATTGTTGCCCCCGCCGGAGGAGGCCGCGCAGGGCCCGGGGCCCTGCATGGCGGGAGGGGGTGAGTGTGGTTTGCAAAGGCCGGGATCGGTACAAAGGGGGGGGGGGCGCCGATCGCTGCGCGGATCCCCCCCGTGCAGCGGCTGCGTCGATTCCTGCCCCGCGCAATAAGCGACGCAGGGCGCAGTTTGCGGGGCCTTCGTGGGGGCGGCTGCTCTCTCCCTGCCCCATCCCCGGGCCGGGCCGGGCCCTGGCAGCTCCCGGTCCCGCTCCGTGCGCTTCCCTCGCGGCCCCTGGTGTCGCCTCTTCGCCCCGGGCCGGGAGCTGCTCTTGCTAGACACTCCCTGAGCTGTTTCAAGGCTCCCCCCGCCCCGCTCCTCCCTCCTTGCCCTAGACCCCCAAACTCCTCACAACCGGGGCAACTTTTAGCGGCTCCCCAGCCCCTCCGCCCCATGGGTCCCGCCCCCTGCGCCCCTGCCCCTCTCTGCAGGGGGGTGTCCAGTGCGAGCCCCCAGCACCCTGGGGTGAGGGGCCCCCTGGAATCCCAGCTCCCGGGCTCAAGCGTTTGTTTATGTGAAGAATTTCTGAGCCCTTAAAAGGGCGATGGCTGGGGAGGAGGGAGGCGTGGGGACTGCGACCCTCCTACCACATTGGGCCTGGCAGGGGGATGCACACCCCTCGGCTCCACCCCCTTTGTGCCCCCAAGGGGAGAGCACCCGGCCAGGGGCACCCGAGATTGCAATGGGCTGGGGGCAGTTTTAGGAAAAGGCCATTGCAATAACCCCATGGGCGTGCAGGCAGGGTCCCCCGCCCCCTTTGCACAGCTCGGGGGGGCTGTCAGATCCTGGCTGCAGCTGTGGGCCCCCCAGGAGACCCTATCTGGCGGATTGTGCTAGGAACCTGCCAGCGAGCGCTGGAGCCGGGGGAGGGGGTTCAGAGAAGAGCCTGGAGGCGAGGTGAAGAGAGTATGAATTGGGCTGAGGGGGAGGGGCCCTGGGGGCAGCTGGCGACTAGTTGAAGGGTAAAGCTAGGCCCAGGGCGGGAGGGTGAAGGTAAGAAACCCAAACGTTGGGCAGGAGCAGCTTCCAGACGGGGAGAGGTTTGGGACTCCGACCCTGCGCTGGACGGGAGAAAGGGACCCAGGATGGCGTCTCCATCTCTCCAGGGCCTTACCCACAACCCAGCCCCATGGTGCTGGGGGCTTCTTGTGCACTTACACATTGATGGAACAGTCGCTGCCTTCCCTTCCCTTCCCAGCGAGGAGGAGAAAGAGGGTGGGGATGGGGGTATTCAGTGTGTCTTTGTGAGAAGAGCTTATTGAGGGGAAACCAAGTCCCCAAGGGGAGTTTTGCTTTCAGTTCCCTGTATGGTGTGGTCCGTGGTCCTTTCTCTCCAGTGGCAGTGAGTTCCACCGTCTGGGGCCAGCTCCCAGGACAGTTCTGTCTCCTGCGCTCACTAGCTCCCCCTACAGGGTGACGGTGTCACTGTTCATGGGACCCTGGCTGGCAGAAGGAGGTGTCTCTCTGGGGCCAATCCCATTGGGGCAGGTGTGAGTATCAGGACAGAGACCTTGCCCTGGTTTCTCTCACTGAGAAGCCAGTGCAGGGTTCTGGGGTGATTGGCTCATGGCACCCGGTGTTGCTGGGCAGGCAGGCTGCGGTGTCTGGCCCCGCTGGAGCTTTCTCTGGGCGGGTGGCTCCGTCCAGGGCGAGAACGGCCTGCACTGATCGTGGTGGGAGGTCCCATGTAGGCAGGGCACCATGGCCTGGCCTGGGTCAGACAGGGCAGGGCGCAGGTGTCGGGCCAGATACAGATGGGAGGGACGCTTGGCCAAGCCCCCTAGGGCCCAGGAATGGCCAAACCGCGGCCTGCAGAGTTTTCTTGGGTGACCCCTCTTGGGGCTTTATTGCTGAGGTGCATCTTGCAAACACTACAAGCCCCAACATGCAATGCTCCCCTCTGATGCTAGTGAAAGCTGCAATGCATGCTGGGAGCGGTGGTCCCTGCCAGTCGCAGCTCCAGGTAATTGATGAGGGAGGCTGCCAGGCCGTTGCCCCATTTCGCACCAGCGGGATTGGAACAGAGGCTGGGGGGCTGGCTGCACTGCCGCACAGGCTGGGTTTGGGGGACAGAGTGGGGCTGGTCGATCCATTGTCGATTCACCCACGGCGGGCAAGGCAGGTGCAATGGGCCCCCCGTAGTCTCCCCACACAGCCCAGACCCCCCTCAACTCCTCGGGGCAGATCCTCAGCTGGTGTGAACTGCTGTAACTGTTCATCTCAATGGAGTGACACCAGTGTACAAAGGGGCTGGAGCGTTGACCTGTTTCGTTTCCCCTCCCTGTCCCCAGCCCCTGCTGAAACGACCCCGCGCAGAGGGCAAAGAGCGTCTGGAATCCCCCACGCGTCTGTACGCGCCAGAACGCCGCCCGGCCCAGCTTTCCAGCAGAGGGGAGGAAAAATGAACAGTAGATTCCATAGTGATCACCTCGTCTGACCCCCAGAGACCTGCCCCGAGTCACTCCTAGGGCAGATCCCTTAGAAAACCAGCCCGTCTCGGTCTAAAGCTTGTCAGTGATGGAGAACCCGCCACAACCCTCGGCCAGTTGTTCCAGTGGTTAATTACCCTCCGTGTTCCCCATCTACACCTTCTTTCCAGTCTGAATTTGTCTAGCTTCAACTTCCAGCCACTGGGTTGTGTTATACATGTGTCTGCTAGACTGAGAAGCCCATTATTCAATATTTGTTCCCCTGGTTGGTACTTGTAGACTGTGCTCTGGTCACCCCTTGTTAAGCTAAATCGATGGAGCTCTTTGAGTCTCTCACTCTAAGGCAGGTTTTCCAACCCTTTGATCATTCTCGTGACTCTTCTCTGACCCCTCTCGAATTTATCAACCTCCTTCCTGAACTGTGGGCCCCAGAACCGGACACGGGATTCCAGCAGCGTCGCACCAGTGCCCAATCCAGAGGTAAAATCACCTCCCTGCTCCTCCTCGAGATTCCCCTCTTTATCCCAGGATCACGTCAGCCCTTTTGGCCACAGCGTCACACTGGAAGCTCCTGTTCCACTGATCAGCCGCCAGGACCCCCGAATCTTTTCGGTGTCACTGCTTCGCAGGAGCGAGTCCACCCGTGGGCGTATGGCCGGCGTTCTTTCTTCCTAGGTGAAAACCTTCACATCTCGCCGTATTCAAATGCATAATGTTTGCTTGTTCCCAGCTTAAAGAAGAAAGATTTATTTACTGGCAAGCCCCACCAGCCATAATGCCGATGAATTTTTTTTTTCACCCTGTGTCTCAGACTCTTGCATTCACTTACTGCACTGAACCCAGACGTGTGAAACTCACTCCCCTCAGATCTGTCAGTCCGTCCCTCCCCCGCTTCTCCATGTCACGTGGTGTTTGTAATATCCTCCCCACGGGCCCCGGATCGCTGCTTGGCCCCCTGCTTGGTCCTGCAAACGAGCTCTTCGATTCGGTCTGTTCGGTTTGCGCTGGAAGGCGGTGACATCTGTCTGTCTGACCCAGCACTAGGGATCCTGTCACCGTGACGGCTCAGTGACAGCAGTTGTGTTTGATTACGGGGCCCTGCGCACTTGGGATTTAACCCAAAGCCCTTGGAAAGACTCCCGTTGATTTCAGGCCCTTCTGCTGTACCACTGAAGCCAAGAGGATATTTGTGTGAACGCAGCCGCCGGATCGGGCCTGGCAGGCGTGCGCGTTTGCCAATGATGCCTCCGCGGGCAGCTCTGGAGGACATAATTATTGTTGCTGTTTTATGGATTTATTGGATATGGTCCTTCCAGGCAACTTTTCCTCCCTGAATACTCGTTAGTGTGTAATTACGTTTATTACGGTAGCACTTGGGGCCAGCGAAGATCAACCCTCCACTGAGCTAGGCACAGTACAAACATAGAAGTAGGTCTGGTCTACACTACAGATTTATATTGGTATAATTACGTCGCTCGGGGGTGTGAAAAACCCACACCCTAGAGCGAGGAAGTTACACCGACCTAACCCCCATGCAGACAGTGCGGGGTGAGCGGGAGAACTTCTCCTACCCACACCTGGGGGGGTGGTTAACTGCCCCAATGGGAGAGCTTTCTCCTGGTGTAGCAGCTACATTGGAGCAGCCGCACCGCTAGGTAGCCCTGCCCTCAGATCCAGGCCTCGCGCCAACGAAGGGCCACACTCGATGGACGATACAGAGACGGTGAAAAGGGGGATGTAACACACAAACCGAGGGCTGATTTGCAGACAGACCTCATGAGACAAGAGGGAAGGGTGGACTGGGGGTTTAAAGGGGACCTGTGAAGAATTGTAAAACGCCGTCATGGTTTATTCCCCAAAGGCGCTGGGAGGTTTCATTATTGTTGTATATAATTTCCCCTCCTGCTTGTTTCTTAATGTGTAGGAATCTCACGTGGACTCTCCCCGCGTTGTGCTAGAGGATTGACTGGCGGTTTGCAGGGGTTGTGAGGTCGCACGCCTTAAATACACGGGCTGGAGGGGTAAATGTAACAGCTGCCCTTTCTCCCATGCGTTCATTGGGCATCAGAATGAAGCAGGTTGAAACAGTCTGATTAGAGCAATATCGTGGGAGTCACTAGGTGGCACCATAACATGTCCTCTCACACCTTCGCTTTCTCCGCCCGTGAGCCGTCTTTGAAGGAATGCTGCATTGGTGTGAGTTTGTGATTTCAACTCCTTTTGGAGGCAGCGGTGGCGAGCAGTAAGGCAGTTGCCCCTTTGACTGAGTCTAACTAGAGTCAGTTCTGGGGGAAGCTGCTCCCTGGGACCGGGCACCAGTGGAGGGGCTGAAATCCCTGCAAGAGGAATTTGGCTGTGTATCCTTTGTGACCACCTCTGTTCCAGGACTGGTTCAGGCGGTGTTTAAAACACAAACAAAAAACAAGTTTTGGTTTCGCTGATTCCTCTTCCCATGAGAAGCCAGCCAGCAAGGCCTCAGCAGATGGACGACAATAATAAAAATCTCATCCCATTCCAGTTGCTCAGAATCTAAATAGACGGAGGAGTGAGGAGGGGAAACTGAGGCAGAGACGGAGAAGTGACTGGCCCAAGTCACCCAGTAGGTTAATGGCAGAGATGGGGGTATTGTCAGGATCTCTTGAGCCCTAGGGTAGTGCCCAATTCACTGGACCATTCCCTATACTTAGTTACTGTAATACTTGTGATACTGACTTCCTTTGTAAAGCGTTTTTAGATCTGCTGATAAAACACTAAATAAGAACTAAGTATTTATCATTATTGTGACTGACTCATGCTCTGGCCGTACATTACTTACTGCAAAGCTAAAACTGAGTATAAAACTACCCGATCTACGTTCAGAATACTTAACGGGTTTCAAATCATTTTACATTGAATTTTCAAAGGCTTGTCCTTGCTTTTCTGGGGTTCCCAGGCCACAAGGGGCCATTCTGACAGCTGTAGCCCAGGCCAGAGAACTTCCTCGCAGGAATTCCCAAGCACAGCTTTTAGCAAACCAGCCAGTCTTCAGTTAAAAACTGTCCGTGATAAAGAATCCACCCAGGGCCGGCTCCAGGCACCAGCCGAGCAAGCTGGTGCTTGGGGCAGCAGATTGAACGAGGCGGCATTTCGCCCAATCCTAGGGCGGCACGGCCGCTTTTGTTGTTGTTGTTGTTTGTTGTTCTGCTCCGGCCGCCCTGTAGGGGGCGGCGGCGCGGAGGACCGGAGCACCCTGCAGCAAGCCCGGCAGGGCAGTCCTCGTCCTTTCCTCCCAGCCGACCGGAGCGGAGCCCTCATGGCAGGCGGTGTGGTGCAGCGGGAGGGGCCGTGTGGCCATGCCCCGCTGTAGCCCTGGCCGCCCCCTTCTCTCTCTCTCCCGCCCGCTCCCTCCCCCTCCCCCCGCTAGCCGGTCCCCCTGCATCCGCGCTCCGGCCGCGCCGCAGGGTTTTTTTTTTTTTTGCTTTTCTGTTCTGGCCGCCCCGTGTTTTGTTTTTGTTTTTGCTTGGGGCAGCCAAAAAGCCAGAGCCGGCCCTGAATCCACCACAACCCTTGGTAAATTGTTCCAGTGGTGAATTACTCTCATCTTTCCGAACGTGCGCCTTCTTTCCAGGCTGAATGTGTCTCGCTTCAACATCCAGCCATTGGGTCGTGCTAGACTTGTCTCTGCTAGACTGACGAGCCCGTTGTTAAATATTTGTTTCCCACGTAGACACTTATAGACTGTGATCAAGTCACCCCTTAACCGTCTTTGTTACGCTACATAGGCTGAGCTCTGTGACTTTCTCGCCGTAAGACAGGATCTCTGACCCTTTCATCATTCTCCTGGCTCTTCTTGGACCCCTCCCCAATTGATCAACCTCCTTCTTGAACTGTGGGCCCCAGAACCGGACACGGGATTCCAGCAGCGTCACACCAGGGCCAAACACAGAGGTAAAGTAACTCCTTGCTCCTCCTCGAGAGTCCCCTGTTTGTGCATCCCAGGATCGCATCAGCCCTTTTGGGCACAGGGTCACACTGGGAGCTCGTGTTCAGCGGATTTTGCACCATGACTCCCAAATCTATTTTGAAATCACTGCTTCCCTAGAGAGTGGCCCCCATCCTGTGAGTACGCTCTGCACTCTGTGTCCCTAGATGTTCACATTTACAGAGAGGTTGTTGGCTTGAGCCCAGTTTACCAAGCGATCCAGCTCCCTCTGGGTCAGTGACCTGTCCTCTTCCTTATGTACCCCGCCCCCCTCTTTTTTAGTGTCCTCTGCACACTTTATCAGGGATGATTTTATGTTTTCTTCCAGGCCATTGATAAAAATGTTAAATCGCGCAGGGTCAAGAACGGATCCCTGCAGGACCCCCTTAGAAACACACCTACTCGATGACGATTCCCTGTTTACAATTACATTTTGAGACCTCTCCGTTAGCCAGTTTTCAATCCCTTTAAAGTGTGATGTGTTCATTTTATATCATTCTAGTATTTTAATCAAAATGTCGTGCAGTACCAAATCAACGCCTTACAGAAGTCTGTCTATTACATCAACACTAGTACCCGTATCAACCAAATTTATAATCTCATCACACATCCACACACAAATCAAGTTTGCCTGACAGGATCTATTTTCAAAATTGTTAGCTATTCACTTAAAAAGAAATTGATTGTTGGGGCAGTAGCTGTCTTTTTGCTCTGTGTTTGTACAGCACCTGGCGTAGTGCTTTCTGGGTCCATGACTGGGCCCTAGGCCCTGCAGTAAGAAGTAATACAAATAATATCAAGAACTAAAGAGGATACTAGCTTGGGAGGCATTGCAAATATCACTGAGGGCAGCAAAAGGGTGCGACAAAGATTTGAAACGCAGGAGGAAAATAAAATGAGGAGAGCTGGTTGAAAAACGAAAGGAGGGAGGGTTAGGGGGACATTTCAGTGATATTGTTTTTAAAAAGTTTGTCTCAATCGAACCTTTTTTGATTTTTTCAGCATAAATTCAAACACCCAAATATTTTTGCCAAAGAAGAAAATATTGCTATTTGGAAGTGCTGCTGTGGTGCCTCATGGGAGTTGTAGTTTGCATGTCTCATGCGTCCATTCTCCTCCATGGGCTGGGCTCCTTGATTGGACTACATCTCCCATGGTGCACCATCTCTTGATCGCGCCTCTTGGAGAGGGGAGTGCATCATGGAAGCCTATAGTCACGGTGCATCATGGGAAATGTAGTTTTGGCCAGGGAGTCTGGCCTATAGAACAGAAAGGGGAGATGATGTACCTGAACTACAACTCCCATTAGGTATGGTGGCAGTGTTTTCAAGTCAAAACACTGAGGTTTTCAGTGGAAATGTTTTGTTTGTTTGTTTTTACAAAGAAATACAATTTCCCTCTGAAAGCAGGCACTTTTACTAAGAAAAAAAAAGTCAAACCCCCAATTTTCTGTTGAAAAACAATTTTGACAGACATTTTTCAACCAGTCTTAAAAATGAGATTCAGCTTGTGGGAAACTGTTGTTCAGAGCCCACAACAAATATAGAGGGGAGTTGGGAGAACGGTGCCTTGCGAGAAATGGTTAAAAGGGAAAGCTCTGTCCAGCGTTGTTAAAAGCTGGAGAACACGGTGAGCAGAGAGCTGCTGGAAGGAGGGTCAAGCCCCGGAGAAAGAGGAGTTATTTAGGGTTGCTCCTGGGGATCTAGATAAGAGAAATGGGATGAAATGACAATGGGAAACGTCAGGTGAATGTCAGGGGAAGCTTCTGATGGTGCAATCCATGGGGCTGTGGGGTCAGCTCACCGAGGAAGGGATGGGGTATTTAAAACCGGACTGGACGTTGCTCTAGGAAATATACAATAGGGCCCCGAGTGAGGACTGGAGAGAACCTGATGGTCCTTTTCCATGACTAGTTTCTCTGATTCTCTTAACTCTCTGGAGGATGTTTTGTTTTCTGTGGGCAGATAAATCTGTGGTGATCTCGCTGTCTGGTCTGTCCAAAACAATATCCCTGCTTGGAAAATTATCCCTCGGATACAAGCCGGCGAAATTGCCCAGCAATGAAAGTGACAGACACCCTGAATGAAGGAAAAGCAGTTGGTGGCTAGTTCAAATAGTTGTGCACCTGAACAATTTTACACCCGAGAGTAACCCCGGGGGGCTCCAGGCAGGGGTCGGGGTCCGTTTCTGGGATCTGAGCCACGCAGAGTCTCTGCTAGCAGTGTATGTCTGAAGCCTGAAATGAACACAAGTGCATTTATTGCTGTGGGAAACGCCTACGGACATGGCAGGCTATTGAGTGCATTTGTGTGAACCTCTCGAACGTGTTTATTTCAACACGCAGCCCCGTCAAATATCTGTTTAAAGGGGAAAAACCCAAAGCCACGAATTACAAAACCCATTGTTAATGCAACGGTCAGGAGCAGTCCGGATCTTCAAACCGAGGGGGGGCAAACCCTGCTGTCAGCTGTAATAGCTCAAATCGGAAATATCTTCACTCCAGATTTACACAGGCAGAATGTAAACCTTGCCTCCCAGCAATTGCACCTCAGCCAGGTAGCACAGGCTCTGTCTTAAGGCATGAATGGAACAATCACAACACATACTCCGTACACCCCCAGCTGCTGTGGGATCCATACAAGGCGTGATGCTTGTCACGGCTCCGCATTCGCACAGGGTTGGCAGTGTCTCGGATACCCCCAGAGTATGTCTACAGTGCAGTGTAGGCCCGGGCTCAGACCCAGCTCGAGCCAAACCTCTCTTCCGTCCACACACGCACCTGTCTGATGTGGGAAGTGGAAAGGTACGTGCAGGCTGCAGCGCGGGAGAAGAGCCATGCAGGCCGCAGCGCGGGAGGAGAGCCGTGCAGCGCATTTCTTGGAGCAGGACGGGCGCTCGAGGGAGATAAGAGTGCAGAAGGAAGATTTGTTGGCGAGGCTGCGAGCATGAATAGCCGTGATAGTTCAGGCAACTGCTTCACCCTGACCACGTCCGGCAGACCAGGAATGCATTGGACAAGAATATAATTGGGTCGCCCGTGCAGTTGGACAGAACAAACATGCCCCCTGCAGTCCTCCGCTCCCAAGTGCATGCTACTCGTGGTGGGAAAGGAAAGGAGAACGAAGGCCCAGGGGACACGCAGACGTAGGGGATGTATTGGGTTTGCACTGATTGCACGTTTTTTCCATCGTTCAATGTTTGTTACAGGGGTTCTTTTATTACTGGTTTTGGTGGTTTCGTGGCAGCTGGCCGCCAGTCAGGCCTTCAGCACTGGTTTGTTGTCACACAGGCCTGTTAACAGAGAGAGGCTTTAATTTCGTTGCGAACGTTTCTTACCATCACATCATGACATGTGTACTTCAAGGGTTAAAGATAAAGCCGTGAGAGGGCACAGCTGGGAAGCTGCGTCCTGGCTCAATTTCTCAATACATCTTTCAGATCAATCCACGAAGACTGGAAATCCACACTTCCTGGCCCACAGTCCACCGCCTGCCCAGTCTACGAGCTGTCATTTCAGCCCTAATTAAAAATTCATGACAATCAATCCCCCCCATTCCTAGCATCCAGTGATAATGCTTCCTCTCCTGTTAGCATTGCTGTGCCAATACATTCATAAACGTACTGTTCTCCCTCTTCCAGTGGCCCGGGCAAGGCTATAAGGGGGGTTCACTCGGCACCCCTGATTTCTCTTGCACATTTTCATCCTGCCTCAGCTGTGCATTGTCTGGCTGAGTGTACTGGCTCCACAGTCCATCACTGTCATAGGGCCGCTCAGGGGCCCATGGTTCACCGCGGGATTCACACAGCCCTGACATGCCCCAGTAATACAGATTGCATTGGTGACCCTGGAGTCCAAATGTGTCTGTAGACAGCGCCAGCAGGATTTCAGTCGGCCAAGCGCCCGTTCACCACCATTCTGCACCTGCTGAGTGTCATTAAACCTTCCTTTGCCAGGGCCTCGGAGATCAGGAAACGATTCCATAAGCCACAGCAAAAGAGGGTACGTGGGGTCCCCTTGAATAACGGTGGGGGGAGTTTCTCCATTTATGACAGTCACTTGGTGGGAACAGTCCCGGGTCTGCATGCTGACGGGATCCCACCAGTCTGAGTTTGGGGCCGGGCTCCAGAGGCGCTGAAGGGATGTCAGTTCAGGTCCATCACATCTGTCTCATCCTCCGACAGGTGCCTTTGGCAGGCCAGGAAATGCCGCCGAAATGTTCGCCCGCGTTTTGTGGCTGCTCCGCCCGCTTCCTGACGCAGCAGGGAAAGCACCAGCAATGGTGCTGTGGTCGGGAGAGCGCAGACCCAACCGCCGGCTCGGCTGCCACCACTGCCGGTAAAGCGCTACGGGATGGAGGGTCAGTTTCCCCGCCATGCACGAGGAGCAAAGGGCAAAAGTGGCTACAGCTGGGGAGGGCGCTAGCAAGCCTGGGTTAGGCCGGTTCGACGGGTCTGTGTGGTGCAGTGTGGACGCAAGAGCACGGGTGCAAGAACTGTAAATCCGGGGTCACTGAGCAGTGTGGATGCCCCAGCACAGGCTTGTAACCACCAGACTTGAGCTCCCCAGACCCCGGCTTATGCTGCGGTGTAGATACCCCTAGGGACTGGCTGGGAGGACAAGAGCCGTGAGATATTGCCCGGGGGCAGAAAGCCACCCGCTGAGACCAGTTACTGGGGACTCTTTTCTCCTGAACAGGGAGATGCTTTACTGCTCTGGCCTGTTAGCGCTGGATCCAAGCACTTTTCTCCCACCCTCCCTCCCGTTTTTTTTGGTGGTGGTCAGATTTGGGGGGTCACTTAAAAAATTCTCTTCTCCGTCCCCCGCCAGATAGGGGGAGGGAAGAGTGGAGAGGGGCGGGACTAGGCATTTGCTCCTCCCCTGGTGTTTAAGAAGGGGCCAGAGTTGCATGTCCTGGAGCAGGGGCTGGGTGGGAAGGGACGGCCGGGGCGCACGGAGCTCGGTTGTAGCCTGGCTCTGGGGCAGGCCTGGCCCCAGTCGGCTCCGCTTGGAGCTCCAGGGCCTTGGTAGTTCCTAAAAAAGGGCCATGTTGCCGCCACCCTGCTGTGTTCATCCTGACACAAGGACTTGGATCCCCTGTTGCCTGTGTGTGAAGGGGACCTTCAGGCCTCTGCTCAGGCGGGGGGTGAGAGGGTGTGTGTGTGTGTGTGGGGGGGGGGGTCATGGAAGTTATTGAGCCGCAGTTAACGTAACAGCCACAGTAAGCCAAGCCGGGCCTGGCTGGTGCATGGATGGGAGGCCGCCTGGGGAAGCCAGGTGTTGCGGGATCTGTACAGCCAGTGGCGCTTTGGCACTGAAGTGGTGGGATGGGAAACTGAGGCACATGGTTTGTAACTGTTGAAAATCCCTCGTCGCTGTTCCCAAGTGTGTGTGTGGGGGGGTTAAACCCGTTGGCCCGGCTACATTCCAACTCCTCATCAAACGGAACAGGCTGTAACCCCCCTCCAGTGACAGTCCGGACACACTCTTCTTCCCTCCCTGTCCTACACTGTTGTGTGGCTGTTGCGTCCCATCCCAGAAACGGAATCACTTACTGCAGAGGTGCTGCCTGGACAACCCGCGCTAGTGCCCCACCCCAGAAGTGGCTGCATCTCAGCACCAGGTAAGCAATCCTTGTCTAAACAGCTGCCCTGCCCCACCCCAGAGTTGGCTGCATTTCAGGGCCGGACAAAAGCAATTCCGCTCTGCCGGATATGTGCGGGGTGGGTCATGGGCTGGATTCGGGGGCGTTTCGGGGACCGGGTGGCTGGGGCGCAGTGTAGTGTGCCCGAGTGACTCACCGGGGAAGTGTGGGGGGCAAGGGGGATCTCCTTCCCACCTTGGCAGCCGGCGCGCCCCGTACCATCGCCCTTTTAAGGGGTTCCTTGAAACCGCGTCCGGGTTCCATGTTTGTAGCAGAAATTGTGAAGAGGAAACTCCATGTTGTAACAAAGTTTCCTCCGCGGGCGTCTCTTTCTCTCTCCCCCTTTTTTGTTTTTCTCCCCCCCCCCATTTTCCCCTCCCCCTTTTTTTCTTTTTTTGGGGGGGCAATTTCCCCCCCCTCCCCGCCGCCCGATCCGCCCCCGAAGTAACTCCTGGAGGATCGGAGCGCGGCGGGAGGAGCTTGCGGAGGAGGGACCCCCCCGGCCAACACTTCTGGTCTAATGGACAGTCAGTCCATTATCACCCAGGTTAGCAAGGAAGAGGTGAACACCCCTCTGCAAGAGAAAGGTAACTGCACCCCCGGCGTGGGGCAGCGTCGCGTGCATTTCACCCCCAACCCCCCCCCCCAATAAATGGCCTTGTGCAAAGCACTAAGTCC